TTCGACTTCGTACAGCACTGCTTCCTCAATTTCAGGTGTTCTCAAACTTACAGGTCTACCTTCAGATGTTCTTTTTCGGACAGAACCAGTTTCAACAAGACGACGATGAATATTAGAAAAGGTTCGACTATCTGGCAAAGCACGATCGGGATATCTCTGGTAACAAGATTGTAAAAACTGAATAATGCAAAAGATGTCGCAGCGAGCAGATTTGAATAACAGAGACTTGTCAGATATCAAACGCCAGTGACATATTCCAGAGCAACTAGATATTTATTGCTAAATTGCATTCCTCAATTATTACATTACTTTTCTCGGACAATAGAACGGTTTTTATTTTTTTACTAACAATGGCGCATCGAAGGAAAGCAACTCAAGAAAGATCATTTGTTTTAAATTGAACGGAGAATTCAAAAATAAGTTTTACTTGGCAAAAAACAATTGGCGTACCATTTTTTTCTTAAAAAATATAGAAGTCAATACCCGTACGCACGCCACTGTTAAAGCTAAAAATTATTCTTGCATTGAAAAATATGCAACTTTATTAACATTCACTACGTACTAAATATCAGTGAAATATCTGAAGCGGTTCTGAAAATATTAATTAATTTCTACTTTTTTCCTAAAACTTCAACACCCCGAGTTTTTGTAAGGAAACATTTTTGGACCATAGCTTATAAAGCAAACTAACATTAATTTTTCATGTAGATTTACGCCATTAAATATTCGCATATCATTAAGGAATGCCATGTATATTGAGACTGACTGCACGGACTCTTTATGTCATAATGCCAATAAACAAACAAAAAAATGTGCCAAATATGCCGCTCGAGACGTGTAATTGTGCATATGTATTCAATTGGCATGATTAGGAATTTCAATATTTCTGATAGGTCTGTAGTATTGCCGAGATCAGAAGATTTTTCTTACTATAAGGACTGATACCAAAGACAAACTTTTGTTTTAAAATGATCAGGAATCTGTGAAACATTCAGAAAACGAAGTTTAAGCAGTTTTTACATTTTTTCATTTATGCCCGTAGGTCCACCGCCACTGTATCGATTTTCAAAAACTAAAACGCTTTCTCGTCCTTGGGGTAGTCGTAACCTTGTATGAAAATATCAAGATCCGAATGGTACTTTCCGAGTTAGGGCCATATCGTCCTTCCTACAATTGTAGGACTCCTTTATGGCCTCCTTGATTTTCATGGTCTTTTCTCTCCTTCAGAAAGGCTGGGGTATTTCTAAATTTATACTATTCCATGTCAGAGTCAGCGCTCTCCTTTTGTGAAGCTATGTTTTCTTTTTGATTTGTACGAAATTTCGGGCTGATATAACAAATTATTCCGCTCTTAGAGTGACCAAGGATTAGCGGACAGACAAATATACAGACCGACCGAAGGAAATGAATAACAACGATTGCTAGTGATATACTCGTATGTGTTCTGTAAGATCCAAGAAAGATTACATTTCATTACCAAAATTTTTGGCGTGGGAAGTAAAGTCGTCAAAAACGGGTTGGTCAGAAATATAACCCTAAGAGATATCGGCATTAATTTTGATTTTTAAAAAATGTGCCATAAGAAAATTACAAAACTACCTCGGCGTTCAGCAACCAACAAAGCATGATGGGGAACTGACTTGCAGCTTCTAACACAATCATTGAGCGTGTCGTCTCGTTGAGTTATTCATCCATAGATGGACGCTCACAGCGCTCATACCGAGCAAACACGTACTATTTGCACACATTTTGTCAGTTTTTTACGTTTTTTAGGTGTTTCACGTAACAGCCCTGCGGGACACATTAGGATTTCTTCACGATTATATAAAATTATAATATTATCATATTATAAAAAATACCTCAAAATCGAATAGCATTTTTTCTCATAATGAATATACGTAATAACGGGAACATACACATGTCCTGATTTTGTAACATTTTTATAAAATCAACCCCGTAAAATCATCATGTTAGGAAACCAAATATTTGTTGAAAAACTCAATACAAATATACAGTGCTTCTCAAAAAGATCTGCATCTACTTATTTTTATAACGGGTGAAGCTGTTAATCTGGGATTCGGGCTGATGAATTTGATGTATGAATAATATCTCACATTTTTCATTTTGAAGCTTCGGGTAAGTACGTTACAATCTCAGAATATCAACCCGGATTGGCAGGCTGTCAAAGTTGTACGTTCGTTTTTGTAGATTGAGCCGCTTATACCCTTACAAGTAATCATGAAAACTAAATATCATATGATATCTTCTTCTCTTTGAGGGGTCTATCCAAATATGCAATAATATGTAAAAAGCCATCAAAAACGCCATTAAAAGAAATGATTTTATATTCTAGCATTACAATGTGCTAATAAGGGTCTTTAAAATAAGCCATCACACGACCCACCACTCTATTAAAAAAAGGTTCTAACATGACGGCCATCCGCTATTTTGGAATTAATCAAGTGTCAAAATACTGGGTTTGTCCGGAAAGTAATAGGACTCATTTTCTTCCGCCATGACTGGACTTCGGAGCATGCGCGCCCCGACTGGATTCGGTAGAGGGCGTTCCTAGCTAACGAATGAGCGGCTGGTCAGTTGTCTCCGAGCACTTGGAGAGTCAGGAGAGGGATTTCCGCGCGACGTGTTTCTGTGAGTCGTGCAAGCCGAAAATGCAGCGTTCGTTAGAGCAGAGGTATGCGATTAAATTCTGTGTGCAACACGGTGAATCTGCGACAGAGACGTTTGATATGATCAAGCAGGCTTACCCAGGTATTGCTTTAGCAAGAAGTGGTGTGTTTCGGTTTCAGCAGGCCTTTTTGGAGGGCCGGGAAGAGGTCGCTGATGAAGACCGTGCTGGAAGACCTTCGACAAACACCGATAATGTGACTCGTGTGCGCAAAGTTTTGAACTCAGGCCATCGCTTAATTGCCCAGATGTTAAATTTACTAAAATCTGTCGTTCATGACATTGTGACACAGCATTTGAACATGCTCAAGGTGTTTCCTCGCCTGAAAATGCCGATGAAAGGCAAGCATTTTGAGACGACAGAGAGGATCCAAGCAGCATGCACCGCGGCTCTCAAGGCTATTTCAGATAATGCCTTTCGTGACGCCTTCAATGCTTGGAAATCGCGCTGGCAGTGCTGTGTCGACGCAGAAGGAGTCTATTTTGAAAGTTTTTAAAAAATTGTAACGATTGGCTCAATAAATTTTTTTGAATCGACTCAGTCCTATTACTTTCCGGACAAACCCTGTATATTATAATAATGCTATCAATTTCATCCAAGGGATAAAATTTCAGCTTGATGATTTAACCGACCAAAAAATCAGTAGGAAAGATAATTTTGCCATTGTATGAATTGGTTTATCCTATTTAAGCAGTTACTGATAAATTTTATCTCATTTTTAATACAATGACTAAAACTATATTTTGCAACTCATGTATTTACAATAATACCAGTATCATATTAGAAAATATTCCCGAAATAATTAAAATGTAGGAAATTTTTGTAGGAAAACTTTTTATTCAACAACAAAGAATGAGAAAACGCGTGTTTTGAGATACATGCTAAATAGCATTTTGAAGTACTTAGGAGACCTACAAAATGAGACTATCATCTGATTAAATGCAAATGAATTCTAGCCTGAACCTAATCCAAATGCAGATTTTGGCTCATGTTTGTAATGCGACGATAGTCTTACGCAGATACTTGAAATTCCTCATATCAGTAGATCTCATTCTTCTAAATAATCACAATAAAATTGTAGTCAATCGGTTTAGTAGTTTTTGGGAATTTCTAATTGTTTTTCCAAAAGCACCTGTTTTCCAGCCACCTCTACCAGTTTGTGAAGCAACACACAGGGTTCGTTCAAAGGACATTTTATAGCAAAATACATAAACTTACCCCACCGATATACCCTTCTGGACAACTTGCATCATCAAAACCAAACATTACAGTTACTTCGTAAAGCAGGGGATTTTTCGTCAATTGCGATTAGGCCACATGTGTCTAGTCGCATTTTAAGTCCTCAAAAACTTTTGAGTCATCTCTGACGGTAGCCTATCGTAGGTGCTCAGTTTCCGTCTAACAAGGAAGTACCATCCAGTGAATCTCAACAGTGAGGCCAGAAAGTGTGAATATACTTTTTTATACTGAAGCACTTAGGCAGAAATCTAAATACCTGAGCACCGCGGCTGCTAGACTGCTATAAGGAACTTATAGACGCCTTATTAATCCAATTTTTGAAGTGCGTAAGATTAGCAGACCTGCGAAGGTCGGCACGCTCAAGATGGAAGGTGGAAGTCGGACGGGTCTGCCTCGCAGACCCAACGCGCGGCGGTATCAGGAGAGATCTGAGGACAAAGCTTGTTACCATAACGGTAGAAGAGAGTAAGGTCGCCTAAGGCTAAGCACATAGTGGAGCGGAGAGCAAAGCAGCGATGAGAGCGGCGAGCAAAGCAGCGAAATTAAGTTACGTTTTTTAAATCTGAACGCACATAGTAAGGCTAACGTCGGAGATGCGATAAGCGCTGTTATAGTCGAGCAAAGCAGAGCGTTCAAACAAGTTTGTTTTCTTTGCTGTAATCGCTTATAGTATACATTGAAAAATGAACACCGAAGAACTAATAACTAGTATTTTTATGAAAAAAGCTCTCTGGGATCAAAAGGACCCTCAACACCATAATCGATTTATATTAGATAAGTTGTGGGATGCGGTGGCCAAAGAAATGAACTCTACAAGTAAATGCTTATAACAAACATTTATTCAGTTTTACAGCGATAATATACATCGTTATTTGGCTTCTCAAATTTTATTTTGACATAAAAACATTTTGTAAGTTTCCCTAACAAAATTCGCAGTATCAGTTGATCTGTTATTTTGTCGGGATCCGTCTGCTGTTTCAGAATGTGGCATTACTATTTCATTTTTAATATCTAATCCTTCCTTGTCGATTATAATATTATGTAATAGGCAAATACATTTAATAATTTTATCAGCTCACTCCGGAGAGATTTCTATAGGTTTCCAGAGAATGCGAAATTTAGCATTGATGATGCCAAATGCACATTCTACCGTCCTTCTTGCTCTTGAAAGCCCCATATTAAAATACTCTCTATCAACATCCAAATTTCTTCTGTTGTAAGGTTTAAGCAGATTTCTCAATAATGGATACGCTTCATCCCCAATAAACACATAAGGAGCTTCAACTGCGCTTGAAGGTAAAACACTATCTGGGGGAACGTTCAGACGTCCAGTATCTAACAAATGAAACAAGGAGGAAGAACGGAAAGTACCCCCATCACTCTGCTTTCCGTATCCCCCAACGTCAATTGTAACAAACTTACAGTTTGCGTCAGCGACTGCTTGAAGTACAATGGAGAAATAATTCTTATAATTATAGTACATACTTCCCGAGTGATGAGGACATTTTATTCGAATGTGCTTCCCGTCGATAGCTCCTAGACAGTTAGGGAAATTCCATTTATCATAGAATTCTTTGGCAATTTGTGTAAACTGTTGTTCGGTGGGAATTTTCATATGTACAGGCTGTAATGATTCCCATATTACTACCACTGTTTCTCGAACAATTGAGGAAACTGTTGAAGTTCCTACTCGATAGGTGAATCCCAGGCTTTTAAATGAGGAGCCTGTGGCTAAATATCTGGAAAGAGAAAAAATAGTCGTTCAACTTAATTATTTTTTGTGACAAAATATATAGTTTTTTTTTTTATTGTAGTGACGCTACCAACGCAAATTTTATGCATTAAGTAGCTAAAGTGTCATACTACGATTGTACAGAATTTTGACTTCCACTTCGTTCCAGAACAAAAGTGTAAACAAAATTTGGCTGTGTTAATTCCATTGATAGAGAATAAAGAAGCACTGTACATTAATGCTTAAATATTTTATTTTAGGAAATGTTATGAGCGGCAAATGGAAAACGCTTCGGGGCAATTTTCGTAAAGAGATGAAAAAAATACCGGCGAAACGGTCTGGAGACGGGGCTGCTCAATCAACTGTTTCATCTTGGCAATATTTCGACAGCCTGTGTTTTTTGAGAGATCAGTTTACTGGACGATCCAGTGGTGGTAATTTACCTAATGAAATGGCCGATACCATTTTGAATGAAGATACTGAGACTGAAGTTGATGATTACGAAAAATCTGTAAATGAAAGCCAGTTACCTTTAGAAAACGAAAATATATCGGCCACGACCCCCGGCGCGACTCTCACTAAGCCTAGCAAAGTGAGAAAACAACAAAACGATAAAGATATCGGCACGGCCCTTGTTAGAATTGAGGAAACTAAATTAAAAATGTTACAAAATCAGCAAGTAAGAACCGTCGATGAAGATTCAAACTTTTTTGATAGCTTACTTCCTCATGTTAGAACACTTCCACCGCGCAAAAAAATGCTATTGAGAATGAAAATGCAGGAGCTGGTCTACAATTTCGTTTACGGAGGTGAATCAAATCCTTCGCAAAATCAGTACCAAAACTCTTCAGAAGTTTTATGCAGCACACCACAGGAGCCTATGGCCTACCATGTTACGGAGTTGCAAACTGTATCCCAGGAATATTCAAATCCCACCTCTGTTGCCTCCTATCTAAGCAATTTCTCCGATGAAACTCTTCACTAGCTTTACAGTATTTACTAATTATATAAGTTTGAATATTTGGTGTACCTACTTACCTTAAAGTAATCGTAAGACGTTCTGTAGGACTTATAGGATTTAAATTAAAATTTGTCCAGTTCTTTAATAGCTTATTTTCTATTCTCCCCAAAATGTAGTCAAATGTTGCAATACTCATTCGGAAATAAGCATGGAACTTTGCTGGATGTTCTCGTAACTCACTGTATAGGTGGTGAAATTCACCAAGTGTATGCCTACTACGGTTTATCTCATGTACACTACAGCTTCTGGGCTTTTTCTTATTATTTAGTAAATACCATATTTTTAAGCAAGAATTTTCAATTAACAATTCCATCTCGTTGAAAGACACTCGCTTATAAACTCGTCAGTATATGCCACCTTCACTTTCATCAACTCGCTGTTCCGTTTACTCGTTGCTCGCCGCTCTCATCGCTGCTTTGCTCTCCGCTCCACTATGTGCTTAGCCTAATGCCTGTCGGTGCGAAAGTGTCACTGGTCAGTCGAACAGCCCTCCTCTGAATAACATCGGATATGAACAATGTAGGCGGGGTGGTAGAACCTCAAACATGTGGGAAGTTGTTGTATCCAGTGTACAACTCCTACCCGTTCAAGTAATTGTACACGTGTTGAGGAATATCTCAGTACCGATTGCCGGGTGGCGGTACAAGTCCGCCAACGGGCCACTTCAGGTCTACTTAATATCATTAACACGCAAAAAGATCGTGGTAGACAAGGACCAGTCGAACGAGGCGGTACCACCCGCTAGCTTTTCCCAGGGTGTCTTATAAATGTCCGCATGTTTCCACACCTAAGCTATGCAGTCGGTCTTCCAAACAAAGAAATTAATGACGGATTCCTCGAGTACTAAGAATTCCGGACGTAAACTCCACTCTCGGAATGAGAAAGTGCCTAAACCAGGATCCAACGGCTGGTTTAACAACTCGTGTGACACTGATCGAAAGCAAAAGATCAAGGCACAGAACCTTCTTACCTTCTCAGTGTAGAGAACAGACAAGCCGTCGTCGAGCTGTGCACGCTGCCCTCTTAAGCAGACGCCCATCCTATGGTCTCCTAGAAAAGCTTTGCAGATAGGTGGCTGATTTCATCTCTGGCCGCAAGATATCCATCGTAATTGACGGGTTCTCCTCTTCATCCCACAACATCAACGCGGGGTCGGTTTTGGCTCCGACACTGTTTCTCTTACATATCAACGACTTCCTTTCCTGCACGATCAACCGAATCCACAGCTTCGCTGAGGACAGCACTCTGCAGGAATTCAGGGTGACAAGCCGATCTCTGCCGCGGAGCTGGAAAAAAGACTAGCGACGACTTCCTCTCTGATAAGAGACCTGGAGGCTATCACTGCTTGGGGACGCAATAATCTTGTACAGTTCAATGCTTCCAAAACACAGCACTGTACTTTGACGAGCAAAAAGGGTCCTAGCGCTCATCCGGTTTCGATGGATGGCCGAGTTCTGCCAAAGGGTCATTCATTTCGGTTGGAGTCCAGATCACCCAGGACCTGATCTGGCACGAACACATCTCGTCAATAGCTAGGCTATTTGTTTAGGGCAAAGAAGTACCTTTCTCCGCATGACCTTCTCACTCTATACAGGGCCCAGATAAGGCCTAGCATCGAGTATTGCTCATACGTTTGGGGTGCTACCGCCCCGACTACATTAGTTATACTTCGGTATAAAAAAAAGTCTCATCTGGGTCTTTTACAGAGTGACTAGATTTTGCGGAAAATTACTTCATATCATACATCAGCGGCAGCTGTGGCGATTGACAAGATGTCTTAATGCCAAATCAAGTCCTCGGTGATCTGCACTCCGACCAGTCAAAACGAATGGCCCTTTGACAGAACTTGGCCAAATATCGAAACCGTCAATTCTACCAAAATCCCAAATGTTTATGATTGTCTAGTGTCAACACCCTGTATAATGCCGATTTTGATAAACTATTAGCGTCACTGCTAATAATATAATACAGTTATGGATTTTAAGCTATTGATATCTATTTAATAGTAGTGAAAAGCAAGGTGGAAATAACTCAATAATTTATGAAGCAAAGATAATTAGCAATCATTTTCATCACATGCTTGTCAAAACAAGTTCAATACATCCAATCCGTAATATCGAAATAACCTACTTTTTAGTTCAGTATGGAAGCTTAATATTTTTCTAGGGGGAACGTCTTCATGTTTAACTACCTCAAGTTTCTCGAAATTTCAGACACCTTCCCCCTTTTTGTGTTCAGATGGATTCAAATGAATGCTATAAAATATATAGGTGCCATATTCAAACCTCAACTGGTACATGTTATAAATTGGATTGCTAGCAGTGGATGTTATTCTCATCTCTTCATAAAGGACTTTCAGTCATATTGGACGATCGTTTGATGCAATATAGTGAGTAAGATTGTCGAAAAAGATATATAATCCAAGGAATTGTGAGTACTATTAGTAGAATCACTTCAGAACATCAGCATGATTTCACCAAAGGTAAGGAAACACAAACAAACATCTTCCGAGTAGTGACTGCTGACCTATCAAAGGTCTTTTCACTCAAAGTGCTTTTATTTATAAATTACAACAAAGATACAACAACACTACGGAGTGCCACAGGGATCGATCCTCGGTCCCTACCTGTATATACCTACATGTTGCTGATCTGCGAGTAGAAAACGTTGCAGAACAAACGATGTTACAATACGCAGACGATTTTTTCGTACTAAACGAATTTTTAATAGCAAAACATAGCCACCATAAGAGCAAAGTGGGTGATATTTGAGAACTATGATAGATAAAAGCAGAGATACGCAGAAAGCTGAGGTCATGCTGATTGAACCACTTGACCGCTTAATCTCATGTATGAAAATGGAATCTGATGAAAAATCTTGAGCTCGGCACGAATTTGTTTTCAAAAATGGTCGTTGCTATTAGAATTTACAAAGCTGACCTCCAATTGACCGCTGAGATCTCTGTCTAGTTAATATCTGAGGTCATCGAAAAATGGCTTATTCGATACTCTGAAACTTTTCTCTGAACCCTTTTTGCAAAAATGCATGGATACCAAGTTTTCTGGATGTTCGTGTACTTTTCAGATGTTACAGTAGGTAATACTAATTCAATCGCTTATGACCACTTTACCTTATACACGTATATAAAAATGGAATCTGTTGTAAAATCTCCAGCTCGACGCGGATCTTTCATAAGAAATGGTGGACGCTATTCTATTTTACAAAATTGAACTCCAAACGATCTGTGAGGTCAATGTCTAGGTCATATCTAAGGTTATCGACAACTTGTTTTTCTTTGATACCCTGAAACTTTTTCTAGAATCATTTTTTCAAGAAAATGTATGCTTGCCATAATAATAATAGGTTATATAGAGGACTAACCCTGCGCCCCCTATTCCTCTTTTCGTGTTAATCCTCAAACCTAGGACACACTACCTGAAAGTACCTAAAAACGAGCGAAGAGGAGCCTCCTCTGGTTACCCTCCTGGAGAGATTATTTATTGATTCACTTACTACCCCCTCTACGAGGCAGTGATAAATATCTCTCAATGCAGTAGTTATTCTGAAACGTTACAACATGGACGACTACCTCATAAGACAGTCCCTGTTCATTTGCAGCATTCTAGGCTTCAATCCGAATGCTTCGTTTGGAAAAGTTCAACTGTTTCTTAGTGGTGGAGCAATCTCATGTGCAACAGCTGTTGGTGCACTACTATTTCTTTATATAATTTTTCCTGGTGAAGATCCTATGGACTTGGAAGTATTGTCGAACGTCTTCACAGTCATTTCGTCACTTGTTTTTGTATGTCATAGAATTAAAATCTTACTTAGATACGTTACTTCTAGTAAATGGCATTATCCTGTAGATAAGATTGTGAAAAAGTCCCAAGCACAGGTTTGAAACCTCTACAAGCAATTGAAGTTATTATTTAAAGATCCAGAGTTCTTAAGACATTCCACTGAACTGTTCTCTTTTTTTTACGAACTTTATAGATGATTTCAAAGATAGTATTGATGTTGAACAAGAGGAAAGAAATGCAAGAGATCTTCAACTATATCAGAACAATGTTTTGGAAGATTGACGATGTAACAAATAAGGCTGAAAGAACGTCCTACAGAAAAATATTGCGGACGGCTCGACATACGATATTCCTCTGGTCTGGTCTTTTTTTCGTATGGATCTGCTGCATCTGTAGAACAAAATCTTTGCCTATGAAATGTTATGAACCAAAATGGGTGGCTTTGGAATCAATTATTTTGTTGCAGGATTTCACTTTCATCACCCTGGTGAGTAACTAAGAGATCAAATTCAACTTATGAATTGCCCAAGTATAGCAGGTAATGAAAATATACACCACTTCATGAAAGTAGAGATCAATGGCTCATGCATCAACCCCATGCCAAAAGCAGATTGAAAATACAGGGATCTACCAAAGAGTTGGTTCAATAGATACACAACTTGTAAAAAATGTCTACTAGATACGTGTCAAGCGTAAAGCATAATCATACATTTATCCAACACAGAACAGTTATCTTTACTTCCCACGCCTACTGGCGAGGAAGCATAGTAGACCCGAAAAATTTCGAAAATGAGATATGTTTTTCGGATGTTACATGACATGTATGTACATCACGAAAAATCATGTGATTCATTTCCGTCTGTCGGCTACGAGTAACTCTTGGCCCGTCTATAACTTGTGAAGTACTGCTTGGATTGCGATGAACTTTTTGCACAAGGTTACTCCCGTACCAAGGACGAAAATCGGTACAGTGACGGCGGAAAAAGAGGCCAAAAACGAAAAAAAAAAAATATAAAATTGCTCGAACTTAATTTTTTACGTTTCAGAGGATGCTTATCATTTTGAAAAAACGTTTAGGGGTAAAGATTAGGGGTTGGGTTTTTTGATGTAAGTACAAAATATAATTATACGCTGTAATGTTGGTTAGACATAGTTCACACATCATATACCTGTATTTTCCTTTAAAACTTGACAGAATGATAGACATTTTTTCGATACACGTCTGCTGCTGCTTCCGGCGTGCCGGTTTCGGTACGTGTTTTGGTATAACTGCCACGCAGAGGTGACGTTGCCAGACGGACTACCGGCAGGGCAGGGAAAGAATGCCTATAGACTAATTATATGCACTTTTTTGACTGACTTGATCCGTTCTATTATGCATGTTCATAACCAACCTTTTTCTTAGGGGGTTTAACTTATGCTGCACATAATCCTTTATAAACATTGACGTTACATGAGAAGCCTAGTTGACGCTATTTTTTCTTTTTCTAGCCCTTTGTTCTTGTTGCTGTTGACGGACTCATCATGAGCTTCTTTCTGCTAAGCGCCATCCAACTGAATATGTTGAATCGTGAAATTAAAGCCATGTTCGACACTAATGATGAAGATATCATTGCACAGAAAATCACAGCACTCATCGAACATCATCATAAAGTACTTAGGTGAAAGTTTTAACCTCAAACAAGATCATTTAGAGCCAAAAAAGTTCAAATCTCCCACCTTTTGTCCACTTGATGATCTCATCTATTTTTTTTTCAGCTATAACAGACTTGTTAACAATACCATATCATCAAGCATGGTTATATTCATTGGAAATATTGTCAGTAATATATGTATCTACCTCTATCACTTCACTATCATGTAAGTAACGATTGACTGTAAATTTATCCCTTCTATTATCAAAGCGAAAGTGTGTATGTATGTAGGTATGTTGGCGGTGGTAAATGGCATGCTTATTGGACCCTCCTTTTTTCCACCTCGACTGACTAGTGAAATTTATTTAGATTTTCTTCGACACAATCTCCCACAATTATTATAAGATGTTCCTCTAAATGTGGTTCCTACATGATGGGGCTTTACCACATTTTAGACGAGAAGTTCATGAACATCTATATAGTGAGTAACCGAATAGATGATGGCGCAATGGACCCATTTCTTGGCCTGTTCGCTCCCCGGATTTAACGCCTTGTGGGGCTATTTGAAAGAGGAGGTGTATCATGATTAAGGTCCGGATTTTTATGTAGTATAAATCTGCAAAATAGGTTTTTTATGCTGTAGAAAATAGACGAAATATGGATTTTATATGTGGAAAAACTGAAACATAAATCTGCGACCACAAAAAAATTAACGCTTATATATTAATATATTATGTTTAATATAATGAAACAATAACATCATATCAAATAATATTAAACTAAAAGTCGACAAAACAAAATAGGTTTTTCTGCAATGGACATGGACAGTACAGTACTAATCCAAACTAACACACACAAAAAGTTAAACGATAGGATTGCAGTATAAAACTAATAACTGGTTAATACTATCCATGCTTAAATTATGGCGTTTGTCTGTTAATAAATTTTTAAAAGCTCCACATCACATGATGTGATCGGCGCAAATTTCAAGGAAGCTATGTCTGAAGGCTTCATTTTAATATCCGGATCACTTTGGTTCTGTCCTCTCAAAATGTAACAAACATTTTTTATTTGTTGGTATCCAGGATTGCGAGATAAAACACTTTCCCATTTAACCCTAATATTGTTTCCAATTCCTCCAGGAATAAGACTTAGTTCTTCAATCACCTTTTCTATGATTCTGAAAGACAACTGGGTAGTTTCCAGCTCCATTATTGCTTTTGCTAACATGAAAAAATGAGCTTTAAAAAAGGCTAAGTCTTCTAAAATGTTTGACTCTAGTATCGATTCCTTACAAGATCTAAGTGCTATAGAATCAGCGTCAAGCGAAAGAAAACCTTCTTTGATTTTTACGAAGTTATCTGCATAAAACAAGACAGCATTGAGCCATGTACCCCATCTTGTAAGGCTTAGGTGGTAAGGGCAAACCAGGAGCCATTTCTTTGTAAAATTCTATCCTTAAGGGAGCTTTTAAAAAGAACTTTTTTCCGTTATTAATTAAATTATTAACAGAAGGATATTCTGCACGTACTAATTCGGCTAATCTATTCAACGCATGAGCAATACAGGCAAGCGGCCGCATCAGAAAGCATCAATTTTACGTTTTCTGATTTAACTGGATTTGGTGCATATAGTAGGGTTAAACTATCATTAATAAAACGTGCAATGGTCGAGTGATTCGTTTTTTCTAAGGCTGCAGAATTAATTAAATAAGACTCGTTTAAAATACCAACAAGTACTCGTATATTGGCAACATAACGACCACATGAATCTGTTGATTCGTCAACTTGAATATAAATATTTGTGTTGCATAACTTTTCCCTAATATTTTCTAAACGTACCTGGTAACATTTCTTCAAATACTTTTTGCGCAATGTGGATTCATTAGGGATATGGCGGTTACAATATTTTTCTAAAAATTTACGGAACGCCAGTTGTTCTAATTTATTCCATGGTATGTTTGATTGTGCCATGGAGTTGCATAAATCAAAATAAAATTCATTTTTAGAATCCTGGTTTTGTTGGGAGCTGCAACATAATGCAGTTGAAACAAACGTTTGTTGCACTTTCCCGTTAAATCGTTTCTCCATTTCCTTGTGAATGGCTATAGCAAGGTGTTGATCGATCTGAAATTTCTGGTTTGAGGATACCTAAAATCAAACGAGCTCTTAAAAAAAACTTTAAAGAAACCTTGAAATAATGAATATTTACAATAATAGCTCCGTAGATAATGAAAGATTAATTAATTATTATATTAATACATATACTCACTTGCTTTGAACAGGCGTTACAGTATACAACTGTTCCATCAGTGGATAAATGTTTAGCATTCTTTATCCATTTCTTAAGTAAATCAGCTTTAGAGCTTGATACTTTCGGCATGGCGATCTTTTTAACTTTTAAACGGCAGCGAAGAATAATACGTGTTTATTTACTACTCAAGTTTTCTAAGTAAAGATTGCGACAGGTGCCCGGCACGGCGCCAAGTTATTAATCGGGGAATCACCGATATGCTTTGGGGGGAATCACCGATATGCTTTGTAGTCTTTATAATTTGTGCACCGTTGTCAGATTTACGTAACAATGAGTAATAATAAATGTGTTTAGCCTGAGTAAAAAAAAAAACAAAATGCCATTTTATGTTTTTTGAAGCGTATGTCTTTGTATATGGATTATATGTAGAAAAAACCTAAAATATTATGTTATATGTTTTTATCCGAAAAAACCCTAAAACATTATGTTATATGTAAACACATGTAAATATATACAAATCCGGTCTTTAATCATCGTATAGCAGTAAATACTCTGGAAGAACTTCAACAACGCACTGAAAATGCTTGTTATTTAGTTTGTGGAAACCAGGATTTTATTTTCGAAGCGTAAGGAGTCGTGGATTCGCCGAGCAATATTTTGCGTTAATCGAAGTGGGGAATATTTTGAACAGTTTTTATAAAAACGGTATCCATTTAACTTGCTAATGATTTTTTCAAATAATTTTTAAGAATGGTATCTAACTCTCTTATTATGCAACTTTTATATATGTGATTTTTGGTATATCATCTTCTGTTGAGTTCTTCTTTATATTAGACCTTGGGACAGAGGTCTAGCTTGTGTTGCAAAAATAAAACTTCACGGGTTTGAAACAGCGGGTGAAATTTACTATTTGGCAATAAGTATTCTTTAATTTAAGTATAAGACTACATGTTTGTTATACTTGGTGCCTTGACTGCACCTACCGAGGATTTTTGGAAATTCCACCCCTAAGAGTTGAAGTAAAGGTTAAGACTGTTGAAGATTCAGAACAAATTAAGCCACTCCAGGAGTCATAGTACCTTTCGTTTATAACTTCATCTTTCAAATAAAAGACATACAAAGACATGCAGAAATTGTACCCTCAAGATGGGTTTGAAGAGGGCTGAATCTTTATATCTAAGCTTATCTCGAAATCGGTTTAACTTATACACACGAAATTTATCAGATACGTACTCCATAGGTAGGGCATGTCAACTCAGAACGGATTTTGCGATAGGGCTGGATTAAGGTGGGCCTAAGAGCAGATATACAGGGTGGCCCTATTTGTGTCTCTCCTGGTATATTTTGGGAAAAACGCTCAGTCACATCAACTTTAATTTCCAGGGGGACATCTTTTCATCTATAGCCGTACAATACAGGGTGATCCAAAAATAAGATATTGCGTTACACTTTAGATTTTTTAATGGAAACACCCACTTTTTTAAATTTTTAGATTTTCCATGAAGTTTTTAGTAACTTTTGTATAATCAAGTTTATACCTATCTTCAATCGTTGTGAAACTATCTGAGTTCATAATAAAATTCTAGAAAGTTTTATAACAATCAATATAGTTCCCAAAGTAACAAGAGCTTACTTTAAAATTAAAAACAAGTCTCCAATTATTAAAAAAAACAAAAAAGAACTTACAATTCACATGCAAATTAAAGTTAAAGTAAAAATTAATTTGCTATAAAGTGGTAGGTCAATGTGGTAATAAGTGCTGAAACCCATGCAATAATAAAAATTTTGTTCTAATCTATTCCTCACATTTTCAAGCATGCCATGAGTTATTCAGCTGTAATCCGCTGACGAAGATCTTGATTGGAATCTTGCTTCGTACTAAAAACTTTACTTTTCAAATGCCCCCAAAGAAAGCAATCTAAGGACCGTATCGTCGGTCGTTCCTACAATTGTAGGACGCCTTTATGGCTTCCTTGATTTTCATAATAGTATGTCATCATCATTAAGGTACTTGTATGTACTGCTCTAGATTTCCGGCATGCTGACAGTTCTGGCTAGAGGTTATGTTGTTGTTTTGACGTTTAAGAAAGTTTAGACACATGAATCCAAGGCAGAACCGTAATTTATTATTTTCTCGCAAATAATGTCGATCAGTCAATAATACTTCGCTACATTGAACAAATTCCACAACCTGTGGTATCTTCAAAAAATTGTTGGGTTGGGAAATATAATACACATGGATAGTCCAGAAGCTTGCAACAAAGCTTCTGGACTATTCTATTGATGAACGTAGGTAAGGTCAATCAAAACAAATCATTGCATATTCATATTATATATTTATCTCATTATTTTCAGGTGTGATTCATTCTCACAGACTTTATGAGATGGTTCCTCCATGGATAAGAAACATTGTATGGCAAGTGTAATTATGGCATTGTCGATGCATTTTCACAAATCCTTGTGGGACTCTGGATTGTGTAGAGTGTAAGGCACAAGTACGTATAATGTGTGTATGTGAAGATCATAATTACTATTATTGAGCATCGCTATTTCAGGGTGCTAAAAATGCCATGGTCATGTAGGATTACCATAAATGAAGTGTTACAGAGAGTAACAGAAAAATAAGGTTGCAGCATGAAGTAAAATCAGGAAAACTTTATGACATAAAATTCCATAATCATTTACGAATGGAAAAATAAAAGAAAATTGTGACTCATCAAGAGAATTACTTTCCTGTTAAACAACCTCCAGAAAATTCAAACAACTAGATAAGCGGAAAGACCCATTATGTTGAAAATGGTAGTTACCTCAAAGTCAGACTAGGTTAAGCCTTAATAAGTAGTTTTAAGATAATTGCATTGCATTCATAATTCACTTATCATTACAAGGTATATATACAGGGTGACTTTGAAGTTGAGTCATTAATTTTCAGATAATGATTGTAGAGGGAAGATAAACCAAAATATGTGTGTA